TGTGTGAAACCGTTGACATTGCTAGACCCTAAACCCTAAACCCTAAACCCTAAACCCTAAACCCTAAACCCTAAACACCTAAACCCTAAACACCTAAACACCTAAACTCTAAACCCTTAAACCCTAAACGCTGAAGTCTCGGAGTTCACGGAGGTCTCTTTAGCACGCGAGCGATATCTCCCGAGCATCTGCTCCGAAGGAGCTGGGGTTTAGGGTGTACTTAGGGTTTAGGGTTTAGGGTCTAGGGTTTAGGGTTTAGGGTTTAGGGTTTAGGGTTTAGGAGGAGGGGTGTAGGGTGTACTTGGAGGTTCACGGGTAGTTACAAGGTATGGTTATAAGTCCACGAATATGGGTTAGAGCTTTATTTACCTTACTTGTAACCCCCCTTATATATATATATATGTATAACTACCCATGAACCTCCAAGTAGGGTTGTAGAATAGGGCCTTAATCGTCAGAACAGGGTTTGAGGGCTCTTATCACTACTCTGGATTACACACGCCACGACAGTCCTTTCTGTAGGGTTTCTAAGGTCTAGCGTTTAGGGTTTAAAGGCTTAGGGCTACGAGGCTTTACGCGGGGTCCCTTTTACATGGTCTTCTGGGAGTCTACATGGCCCTATAAGGCTTTCTAGGGCCAGGGGTTTAGGGTTTAGGGTTTAGGCTTTTTCAGTGTTGTGACATGGTGATATAGATTTTTTGTAGGTTTTCATACGGGTTTGTGGCACCTAGGGCCCAGGGCACCAGGTTTCGGTTTATGGGGGCTGATAGCGAAGATCCGCTCTCAACCAAAATCCGAGACCCCGGAGATCCCATTCCCCCTTAAAAAGAGGAATCTGGGTTGGACACGTGCAAACAGCTATTTGCCATGCAGACACAGGCTGCGTAAAGTCGAGATGAGTAAAGCCACGGCAAAAACGGCGAACACGCAATGACCGCATGAACTCACGTGCCAGCCAGCCAACGCACGACGCATGTTGCTGTCACCTGGACCCATGCGCTTTCACAAGTGCATCGAGCCTCGTTGTCTTCATCGTCGTCGTCGTCGTGGTTGTCGTTGTGGTTGTGATTGTGGCTGTGGTTGTTGTTGTTGTTGTTGTTGTTGTTGTTGTTGTTGTTGTTGCTGCGGCTGCCGCTGTGGCGGCTGCTGCTGCTGCTGCTGCTGCCGCTGTTTTCATGGTTCTTGTTCGTATACACCCGGTTCTTACAACCTGATGCCCATGATGGCTCCACCCTTCTGGAAAACCCTAAACCCTAAACCCTAAACCCTAAACCCTAAATTCTAAACCCCCATGATGGCTCCATCCTTCCGGAAGGATACGAGTACGACGGGGAGCGCCACTGCTGGCCGGAGGAAGAGGTGCCTTGGCCTTTGAGGCTTCGGGGCACCGAAATCCGACAACGGAGGGCCCAGGGCGCCGGAACCCCGAACCTTGGGGTGTGCAGAGTGTAGGGGTTTCAAGGGGTTTAAGGGTTTAGGGTTTAGGTGTTTAGGGGTTTAAGGGTTTAGGGTTTAGGGTTTAGGGTTTAGGGTTTAGGGTTTAGGTGTTTAGGGGTTTAGGGGTTTAGGGGTTTAGGGGGGAAAGGTGCGGGCTGACGTAGAGGTTTGGAGGATTAGTTGGTATTTATTTAGTGCTGCTACTGCCTTATTCGAGTCAAATTTATTAAACGCTTGCGCGGGAGCGTCCCACATTTCACCGGGCCGGGCGAATGCCTGGGGCGCTGTGGCTCATGTAAGTGGCGTGCTGGGCATGTCCTTTGGGCTCTCAGTGCCTCCCCGTTCTGGCACCCACAGGGCCCCCTAAACCCCTAAACCCCTAGACCCCTAAGCCCCTAAACCCCCAAACTCCTAAACCCTTAAACCGTGACCCATGAGGCGAAATGCTGGGAGCCTCCAGCAGCCTGTGTGATGCCCTTCAAGTACCGCGGGGTGACGCACCTCGGACTCAAACCCTAAACCCCCTGAGCCCTAAACCGTACACCCTAAACCGTAAACCTTAAACCCCTAAGCCCTAAAACGTACACCCTAAACCCTAAACCTTAAACCCCTAAACCCTAAACCTTAAACCCCTAAGCCCTAAACCGTACACCCTAAACCCTAAACTCTAAACCCCTAAGCCCTAAACCGTAATCCCTAAACCCTAAACCTTAAACACCAACACCCTAAATCCCAACTAAAGCCCTAGAGCCGTAAAGCCTTCAAGCTCGATAGCTCTAAAGCCTAAAGCCTTAAACCTTACACCCCACAACCTAAACCCTCAACTTCCCTAAACCCCCAAATCCCACAGCCAAAAAAGCCCTAGACCCAAAACCTTGCACCCTAAACCCTCCTGAAAACCTCCATTTCCCAAAACCCTAAAGCCCAAAACCCAAAACCTTGCACCCTAAACCCGAAAAGCCCCGAAATGCCCTAAAAGCCCTCAACACCACACACCCGGCTGCGAACGTCCTCAGGTTTGGGGGCGCCTCAGCACTGGGGCTCGAAGAATCAGTAGAATGGTTTCCTGCAGGTTCCATAACGATTTCAAGGGTTTAGGGTTCAGGGTT